CACAACTACTCATTGCATATTTTAGTAAGCAGTAAGTCTCAACTTTTCTAACATCAATGTTTTTGGTTTCTATACAATTCTTCGTCAGATTAAACTAAAATGTTAATTAAAAATTCAGCAATGTGGTAAATTCCTTTTTTATAAAAAAAGTTATCTTAATAGACTGATAAAAGCCGATTATATCTTTAAAATGTTTGTTACCAATGATCATTAAATTAATTTTTTTTTTAATACACCGGTTCTATAATTATAAAATAAATAATGTTATTACAATAAAAAATATGAAAATTATACTAAATAGTAAATTTTAATAGTACGACTTTAAATTTATTTTATAGTTTTTATGTTAGATAGTAATTCATTTTTTTTTTTAGGGAATTGTTTATCTTAGTTTTATTACTCAAACTATCATTTATTTGACCAAAGTAATTGACTAAAAATAATACTTTATTATACTCTCTAATTAAGTTTGGTTATTTTAATTAATGAACGACCACGGAAAAATTAAATATTAAGCCTAACCCCTTTAATCCAACTTTACACTCCATTACTGGTTATTTCACAGTATAGAAATTACTTTTTAACAAGGTTATTAATACTACTTCTGAAAACCAGCCAATAATGTTTTAACTCTTATATTAAACATGTTTAATCTTACTATAATACCAGATAAAATAACTGAAATAATAAACTAATAAAAATAGCGCAGATACTAATACGAAGTATTATTTTTGACTCGTCAATATTTGCGATGAATGAAAAATTCAAAAGGACTAGACTATAGTTAGAAAATTATTAAAATATTAAAATAAAGGCCTAGTCTTATCAACTATATTTTTTGAAAAGTTAACGATTTTAAAAGTTTTTTTTAATACTTGTATCTTATTTTAATTGGTTTATCAATCCAATTGAAAGTTTAAAAGTTCAATTAAATTAGTTTATCAACTCTTTACGACTACCCAATCTTTTATAATCTGTACTCTCTCGAGACAATTATTTATACATTTTTATATAGAGCTCTATTAATAGATCAAGTCACACAAAACTAAAAATAGATAAAATAACTAAATAAATAGTTATTGCAATCATAGTATATTTCGACTGTTCATTTCAGTTTTAGATCTCTAGATAACTGAAAATGTTTAATACATTATTTTTCCATTGCCAATTACTAAATCAAACAGTAAAAATGCAATTATTTTCATGTTTTCCATATTTTTAGTATAATCGATACAAGAGAGTTGCGACGTAATTTTATAGCTTTTTGCTATGGTTCTCTATTTTATTATAAATAACAGGACCGATTTAAAGGTAAGGTAACTGAAAGATAACCTATGTCGTCAATGATGGTTTCCGTCTAAGGGGTGCCAAAACTTCTTTATTTCTATTTTTTTATTAGAAAATTACAATATCTGTTCTACAATAAGCAATTATTATAACAAACTTATTTACAATTACATGAATGACGGCAATGAGAAAAAACACCCAATGGCACTACCCGACAGCTTATTTTATTGGATTAATTTTTTTTTATTACTATTATTAAGTTTTTAGAAAGTCTCTTGACCAGCTATATTTTAACCGTCTGGACGGATTTCCAGGCAAGGTTATTGATGAAGTTACTTTACAAGTGGGTTGACATAGTATTTTAGTTTAGAGTGGAAAGAAAGGTAATGGAATTTAGCTAGTTGGTTGACGGTTAGAGCGAAAAGTTTTGAGCTTAATAAAGAAAATAAAGTTTACATTTCAAAACCATAAGAAAGGCTTTTAATAATATCAAATTACAAATTGTCAATTACTAGTATTATTATCCTAGAAAAGGAATTTTAATTTCAGTAGTAATCATACAGTTTGCGGGACCAAATGGATTCAAAAATTGTTTTTCAACTCAACTATGACAATCACCTCCTTTTTTCAAATATACTTTAGGATTTAGTTAAGTTTTTAATTATTTTGATTTCGAGATTTCGCTCACCTTACTTTTTTTAATTCTTAAAAAATCTTATGTATAACCACTTAGTAAATTATTAAACTTTCACTTTAGAATAATTTTTACTGAACAATATGTTTTTCTACAAATAGATGATTGACATAATGTCACAAACAGGTTGATACTCTTGTTACAAGGGTGTACTTTTGTTTGTTGGTCATTTTTTAAAATATTATACAGAACAGCAAATAAAAAGAAAATTCTTATATGTATTCTATAAGGAATTTCGACGCTGATTCTGAATAAGATTTTCACATCTAATTTTTGTGATAATTACAATTAAGTAATTAAGTGATAATTACATGATACAATCGTCATAAAAAAGTAAAAAAAAATTTTTTAACTTTCCTAAAATGATTTCATGATGTTTAATAAGAGTTGTCAGTATTACTTTTATAATAATTTATCACTATTATTTTATTTTGAAGTAATTGAGTAATACTATAATTTAATCTTGCATATTTTTCACGATAAATGCGATGGTATAGTTAGATTTTACATATTGCAAATGTATAATTAATTATTTATAGATAATTCATACGTATAATCATAAAGAAAGCTTAAATACTTGAAAATTATTTAAGTAATTTAAAGCATTTACTCAAAATGCACAAAGTTAATATTTTTTAAATCCTTATAAAATTATTTTATTGTTTTATAGTCGTTAGTTAAACTAAAAAAGTTATTCCCAAAAGTTTATTTATATATAACAATCAACTCAACTTAAAAAATTCAAAAAATGTATTTAACTAGATAAAATAGCCCTAAATTTTGCACAATTCTAATTTTATCATTTTAGGTAAGTTAAAAAAAAAATCTTTATATTTTTTTATGCAATTATCACTTAATTACTAAATAGTAATTATCTCAAAAACTATATGTGATAAAAATAATCTGTAGTCAGATAAAAGTTTAATATTAATTAAAATAATTAATTTTCCTATATATTTTACAAAAAATAAATAGAGGTGGCAAAGGTTATAAAATGGCACGTGTGAGCTGATAAAGACAAAGTTAATTGACCATGACCTGTTTGAGATTAATAAAACAGTATGTACTATTCACTAATTGGTGGGAACAGATAAAATGCAACAGACATGTCCACTTATATAAAGATATAAAGAGGATATTGACACTATCAAGTAATGTACATTTATAAACATAAAAAAAAATAAACAAACCTTCCTAAATATTAAAAAGGTTAATAATTCAATTGATTTTCAATCATATATATATAATTATTTAGACTTACATATATTGATAACCTGTGAATTGTAAATTCATAAATAAAGATTTATTTTATTTAAATGTCATGCATTATTTTATTTATTAATTTCAAACTAATTAAATTTAAAAAAAAATCATAATTTTTCATTCAACTAAAACATTTATAATGCAATCAACCAATTTATTATAATTACGTTCTTCTATCAACTGTAGTAACTCAAAATAAAAATAAATAAAAGAGTTTTTACTTTGTATTTAAAATTAGCACGATGATGGTTTATTCTGGGTTACTACTTGTTTATTAAAATATTATATTTATATCTATATTGGGATCGTAGAGTGCGAGGATTTCGAACAATAAAGACAAGTATAATTAAAGAAACAAATGTAGATTCCCTTTATTGAGGAATAAAGACTAATTAATTTGTAAGCACTTTTAATAGGAAACTGGGACAATGGGGCGATAATCCAACCCTCGAGACCCTGTAATGTGTATAATATACACATATGCATATACACTATATATGTATAAAGTTCGAACAAATTAGTAAAATTATCTTTTTGAAGTTAAAAGAGATTATTGATCTATTGATTTATTGTTTTTTTACTCATACTATTAATTCTAAATGATTAGGTTAATGTGTATTTACTTACTCCTTTTAGACAACTTGTGTAAAGATCGTCGATAATCAAAATATTAAGTATGAAACTCTTTCTTAAATTGTGCAAATTCACACACGAAAATTCTATAACGTCTCTTTTTATATAAATAAATAAAATCTCGACGCAAAATAATTATATATCAATATCGTATTAAAATATATCAACGACAACACGAGGTCGCTGCTTGTCAAAAATATATAGGCAGGTGTCGAATACTTAAGTGTTGGATGATATTCGATAAATAATCGAACACTCTGTGTTGTTCGTGAGGCTGCCTGGCCTTTTTAAAGTATATTGAATATTTCCAACCTAGGGATATTGTCGTCATCGCCTTTTAGTAAATATATTTTTATTGTAATAAAATTAAACATTACATGATTGTTATTTTAAGATAAGACACATGGTGTTTAATAATTGAGTTGAGTTGTATACAATTACTAAGACAAAGTGTACAGTAATATAAGTATTATGACAGATTATTTGTTTGTATACAAGTAATATAAAATACAAATTATACATTTTTCATAGATAAATGTAAGATGCGTAATGCAAAACAATGGGCATATTACTACACAACATAATATCAATTAGAAATTAACGGATTTTACGTGCTCAAAAATAATATTTTGCAGTTAATTACATATAATCTACCACGACTTATGGTATTGTAAATCACTCAAAAATTTGAAGAAGTAAATTCTTCGTGAAAACGTGATTTCGCTAGACAACATTTTATTACGAACCCAAAACGTAATAACACACATTTTATAAATACTAATGCATATATACAAATACTTATGTATCCTACTGAAATTTAACTAAATTTCTTTGTTTCTCAGTAACATCATTATATATATAATAATAATAATAATAATAATAATAAATTAAATATAAAGCACTGAATTTAGTCTCCACTGTTACATAGATTCTCTACACATCCTAAACATCTATAGAGCTCTCATCATTTCATAGTTCACTCTAAATCTCACGTTTTGCATTAATATATATACATGTAGTTTCACATAAGATTTTATTATTTCTGTGATCTGAGAAATTATTTCCACATACATTTTACTGAAATGAACTATTGGCGCTTCTATCAACGTTTATTTTAACTTACCCCTATTCTTCCCAACAGTAAAGCGTCCATCTCACACTCAGCAACTTGGTTTGTAGTAGTAGGCGCTGGTGCGGGTTCATTGATTATTTGCTGATTTGGATCGAATGTTTTTTCGCTGCAGCTCATGTTCTAAAAATATAGACTAATTAGTGCAACCTGTAATCTTTCAATAAAGTTTTAAATATCCCAAATATCATAGACGTATCGTCACAAAACTATCTTAAATAGAATTCTATTTATTTTATTTTCCATATCATGCGTTTAGGATAATACATTAATCATAACCCACTAAATTAAGTGATGTAAATTAAGTATAATTGTTTTAAATATTTTCCATAGTTTAATAAAGTTTAAATTAGTTAAATTTATTTTCATTCATTTACCGTAATAAAATTTAATGCAAAAACTGGTTAACGATTACTATTATAATTTTTTTTTAGTTTATTATTATTTCATTAAATATTAATATATTTGAATGAAATCTTCAACTGGAAACCAACCATTAAATATTTGATCTTTATTTTGTTAAGACGGTTAAAACATTTATACAGTTTTAGTAAAGAATAATATTACACATTGGCAATTATGCTATATTTTATAAATGTGCTTGTACATTTAATAGCAATAGAGTTTTAATTACAAATTAAAAAAAAATCATTATTGAGTTTCTGTACCTAGATGGCGATACATTTAACGAACACTAGTAGTTTTCTGCCAACTTATAAATTAAGTTGAATTATAATATTTATTCGTTGTCTATTTTGATAATATTATACAATCCAACATCTAGGGTATATTTGTTGAAATCAACATAAATAGTCCTTTAATTATTTGGTTACCAAACGCCTGCTTAAGTGACATACAAAATTAGCATCGTAAATTAACTACTATACAACCACTTTTACTAATATTATATTATAACTACATAATATCGTTATAGCAAACAACATATGAATATTAAAATTTTATTTTATTTATAAGTTATCAAAATAATAATAGTGTACATCAAATACATCGACGGCTAGATGCGGAAACTCAGTATCAGTTATTTTTGTCAGTTTTTTTGAATTTGTTATTATTATCATTAAATAAACCGTTGCATTTTCAATATTCAAAAACCCAGCACAGTGGGGATATAGCATAGTTGGAAAATGTATCTGATAGTAATTTGTATATGAATAACTTTACCATTATTATGTATTAAAATTTCACTGAAATATTAATAGCGTGTAAAATCGTCTAGAGACTTTTCTTTTTTTATCATAAAGACTCTTAAAAAGTTTTAATTTGATATAAGTTAAAAAAATGTAGACATCCTAAAACATGGACAAAAATGTAATACAAAAAATTTCTTTTATATAAATTGCGTGTTTTTAGTTTAGCAGCCGATCTTTCCTAGAAATAAAGTCAGAACAAATTTTTTTTTTTGAATATTAAGTTTACTTCAAAAACTTTAATTTTTTTATATGTCTAAAGAATGCAGTCTACCGGAGAAAAATTTTTCAAAAATTCAAAAGAAGTTTTTTTATTTGATTTTTATTTTAAAGAATATCTATGAACTACTTTGACGGGTTGAGAAGGCTAAAGAAAAAAATCTTTACAGCTCAGCAACACTATGACGTCTTTATAACAATTTTAGTCTATGCTCCAAATGACCGTATGAAATATCACACAATATTTGTTTATTTTTTTATAAGTATTACTTATATATTTTAGTATATGATTTTTAAAAATAATCGTTTAATCATTAATTTTTTGTTGAATAATAAATTTCTGACTAAAACATTATACTTACTCAAATGGTGCAAAACCTCAATAAACTTATAATTTATTAAGCATATTAATCTTGCGCAGCGGACATTTAGTAAGTCATGGACAGGCTCTAGTCATCAGTCATAATATTTTTAACGAATCAAACATACATCTAAAACTAATACAACAAAAAGTTAATTAATTAATTTAACTTATAAAGCATTTAGATAATTGGACTGAAGAAACACAACTAGAGTGTAATAAAACATTATGAAATTATAATTAAAAATGAAAAAGACAAAGTACATAACTTGAATTTTAATGTGTTAAAAGCAACAATGTTTTATAAAAAATGGCGTATTCCATAAGGTAATAAGGTTAATAGGAAATATAGCGTGTTAAAAAACCATGACGTATTAAATTTTTCGTAAAACAAAAAAAAATATTTATCTATTGAAAATGTTTTTAGTTAAAAATAAACGCTTACATTTAATGATTAAACAATATCCAATGAATCTTTAAGATCCAATAAACTTAACAGAATCAAAAACATAAAGTTCAAGTTGACTGATGATGGATTGTTTGTATACATAATAACTACTTAATGCTAATTTATACATTGTTTTTGAAACTCGTAGTATCAAACTATACCTCAGTAACAATTTTAACCCTGGCGTCAAATTGAATTAGGTAATTATTGCAGCAAACATGTCACCCGAATGACAGGAAAGGATAAAGTGCCTTTGTCAAGTGCTAAGGTCATTCTATCAGGTTATTTTATTGAACGATAGAGAAGCAAAAAAGCATGACGGCCATGGCGTAACTTAAGTCAGTTAAAATTTCACTCTTTAATTTTTCTTCGAAACCGTAAAAATCATACTATTTTAATATACTAATCATAATATTTGATCAAAAATTGAATAACAGAAGCCGTTTTTTGAAGTATTATTGGTAAAAATATTAAAAAGACGTTGAGCGACCAGTAAAATTTATTTTTAAAAATCTCAAATCTTCACAAAATGCTTATTTTAATGTATATAATAAAGATAAAATGATTCTCATTAAAATTTCGAAGATCGACTTTTTTTGATCCTCCCTAATCTACATGTATTAGTGTATTATGTATTATTTATATAGTGTACTAATTCCAAAATTAATTTAACTAAACATTAAATATTTAGTTTCATCACAGGCGGAATTTTGCCAAAATTTTAGGAGACACTAGAATTACCACCGAAGCTGCGAACAAATTAGAGCTTACTTCGCTTATGAATAAATTCTATCTTTCATGGTGCTTATCCAATTTAAATAACATTGATGGGTCGATAACAATTTTAGGACAAGTACTCATTGAGCTACATGCATTTTAATATATATACAGAGTTTTAAATGAAAGTAATCGCAGCTTGAACTAAGGTACGTATACTCCACCCGCGTTGTATACTCAGTATATGCATTAAAATACTTATAGCTCAATGAGTACTTGTACTAAAATTATTATCAACCAATCAATATTTTTTGTAGGAAAACAGATAAAAAGTGGCTATTCAAAAAAATAAAATTAATATAATATATATTTTTTTCATTAGAGACAAATAATAAAAAATATGCTTCTAACATAATCTAAGGTGGCAATAATTATTTTTAAAAACATTTTCAACAAAATAATATTTGTACTAGTAGTTATAAGCGCTATTAAAAAAATATTAAAGTATATATTAAAAAACTTCATCATAACATAATTTGGTTAAATTTTTTCTTATATTTTTACCATTTTACGAAGTTTAAACATTCTAACTATAATTTTTAAGTTTGAAACAAATCGAAATTTATTTAATGGATTAGTTAAATATTCTACTAATGGTCTCATACATCCTTCAATTGGTAACGAATTAAAATAATTTGTTTTAAAATATACAATGGAATATTATGGAATATTTACTTTTTGGGTATATATATATGTAATGCTATTCAAAAAGCTTGTAGTTAAAATGTTTGAATTTTTTTAATTTACTCCGTATTTGATCAGCAAACAGTATACAAAGTGAAGTGAAGAAACAGCCTGTATACAAAATAACCTTTCAAATTTTCCCTATTTACTGTAGCACAATGAACTTCCATACCTCGTTTTAACTAAGATCGAATGTAATAATGTATAAAATTATGATGAAGAGTAAATCTTGAAATATAGGAAAGAATAGTCATCAACAAAAGTCTTTTAAAGAAATTGTTAGGTTTTTGATTCATACCAAGTATTTTGTTTCTAAATTCATTGCCTTCAAAAAATTTGGTTATTAGATCGGCAAAAACTTATTTTAGAATTTCATTTTCATTTTTAGTTGTAATACAACCTAAACATGTTTCATTAAAGGTTTATCATTTAATTTGCAAAACATTTCCTGTTGTTATATTGTAGTTAAAAAAAAAAAAAAATTATCATTTATTAAATATAAATAGTTTTGTATATCAAGCGTATTATTTTGATTACCTCTCTTTGATTTCATCATCTCTTGTTTAAAAGAATGTGTGTAAAATAAATATACATGTACATAATCGTATAATAATAATTGGCCATTAAGCTAATAATAATTATGATTGTTCAAATTTCAAGTATATTTTTACAATGTTATCAAATGAAAATATTAAACTCTATAATTTAATTAGGAATTCAGTTTCATAAACGACATTATTTTTCTAAATAAATAACCCAAAAATTATACCGATATTTTCTCAAAAAAAGTGTTTAACAATTTTCACTCTAGTTGTATCTATAAGGAGAATGAAATTAGTGTTATTTGACATTAAAAAATCACTCAGGTTTTCTATGCAATATAGACTATTTGAATAAATCTCAATAAAACATTAAATACATATAGTCTTGTATGTACAATCTACATATGCAATGTATCACATATTTACAGAATAAGCCAATTAGTTTATTTAACGGCATGCAATAGAAAATGGTTCTCTAACAGTTTTAAGTACATACTCAAGTATTTTCAATCTAATGGAGTCAACTCAGCGTGTAGTAACTGACAATAATAAAACAGACTATAAAAACTGGTTGAGATTGAATTTTATTTTTAATTTAAAGGTTTCATATGCCATGAAAGACAATGCAATAAGCTATTACAAATTGAAAATTTCAAAAGTAATATTAATGTAATTTATTTTGCTATTAGATCTTTTACAGTAAATCAATATTACATTGAATTTTACATAAGAAAAATATTTTTAAGTAAAATAAATTTTTATTTCATTATCCAGATGTTCTTTTTGCTATTTCTAGATAAGCGCGGATTAAGGAGGTGCAGTAGGGGCGGCCAGCCCCTCTGTCGACTATGTAAAAATTAGACAAATATACATTGTTAAACCACCCCTCCCATTTATGCAAGCTAAATCCACGCCTTCATTAAGGAGTTAAGAATAATTAACCTTTCTTGTAGTAAATGATCTATCATTTATAAAACAAATGTTTAACTTTTTCATCGATTGTATTTCCTTGATTTCATATTTTATAAAATTAAAAAATAAAATTATAATTTTTACCCATTAAATTAAAAATATAACTAAAAATTTAGTTTTAAATTATAGCACATTCATTAAATGATATTACTATTTAACAATTTTATTTTTTCAAATAACTTCGTAATTTTTATACGAATATCATATGGGAGCTACTTAACATCTCCAATCTTGTTTCACTAATTTTTTAAGATTTTTTAATGAAAAATAAAATAATTCTTTATGTTGTATAAATAATTCAATGACTTGGTGCAACAACCAGAAAAAAAACAATTTTTTTTTAATTTTTCAGGAGAAACAATTTTATCGAATTGTTTTCATTAAAAACAATAGTAAAATTATTTTCCTAAATAAAATTATAATAATTATAGTTATAATATATATATATTTATAATATAATATAATAATAATAATTCTAAATTAAATATTTACACAAATAGTAAGAGTATAGAACTCGTTTCAAGATTAACAAAAATTTATTTTCTAAAAAATTTTGATTTATCTGGTTGTTACACCAGGCCATTCAATTACTGTTTTTTTGAAATCTTGTATATTGTTATGTACTATACAATTTCATCGGTGTAGTATGTGTATTTCACTTTAAACATAGTAATACTTTGTGGTTTCAACAATTATAGTTAAAATATCAATGGTAAAAAAAAAATGTTTGCATATTATGTTATATATAATTGATTATTTATAGATAGGTAAAAAGAAGATTAGGCAAATCATTTCGAGACAAGCGAGGAAAAATAATTACCTTTATACTTAATATCTTAAATTTATAAAAAATATTAATTAATTTTGAAAAAATGGTCTCTGTAAAATCATTTGCTTTATTATTTTATGTTCGTTGTCAATTTATCAATGCCTAATTCACCTATAATAGTAAACATTCCATGTTGAATAATTTACCCTATGTTTCTAAACAAGACATATACAAGATATCTTAATAATAGTTATTTATTCACACTGTTCACTTTATTTGGGTGTCTCCCTGAACGTATATTAAGTAACGTCGAATTTCCACTTACGTGAGTATTTAGCCTTCAATGCCGGTGCTATCAAAACATACTACATTGAGAGTAAAAGCTTGCTAATTTTTCATGATATTTTCATTAATATTTCTAGAAGAATTTACAGTGTAGAGAAATAATTTGAAAATTCGTCTTCACATTAAGTAACGCAACTAATTTAATTTTAATTGAATTATAAAACTGGTATCGCGGTTAAGGGAGTCACATGTTTACCAGTAACCAGAGTGTAAAACTCACCGGAGGAGTTTAGGCGAAAACACGCAGCCGACTATGCTCGACAACAAACGCGAACTTCGGCGGTTAGTGGTAGAAACGTTGCGGCCACGTCAAGTGTCCAACTCGATAATAGCCGAGAGCCGACGGATTTCCGATCTCACTTATATTCAAAACAAGGTAAAACCCAGAGCTTCGATATAAGGCGAATGTTTAAATATATTATTGAGATATTGTCTTATATTTATGTTTAATAATAAAGAAATAAATCAATAATTGTTTTCAGTGTAGTTGAATTTATTTTTTTTAATTTTTGAGACAATTACAAACAACAGTTATTTATGAGGAAGGCTCACAATATGCCACACTTTTTATACATGTCCTGTGACTTTCACTTAATCTTATGAAATTAACAAACATTCATTCGATAAAAAAAAATTTTTTAATTAAGCTAAATATTTGGTAGTATACATAAAATTTAATAGTCTTTATTATTTTTCAGTAGCAACTAATTTTGCGTTTTTAGGGAGACTTGGATACATTTAAAAAATTTTAAACTTTATGGATCAGGATCGGATTTGACGGAGTGTTTTAAGAGTAATGGCCCCATAATAAATCGATAAATTATTTTATTTTTATAATATTAAAAATANGCCTAATTTTTATAGAGGCTATCATACCAAAAAAAAGTCAAGTCCTCGATAGACAACTTATGAGAATCGAAAATTTGAACTTCATAAAATAATCATTATATGCTATAATTATAATTTAAAGGACACGTCAACTTGTAGTCAATAACGTCATCAGAATGAAATTATTGAGTGTATTCAGTACCGCATCAATGTTTAAGATGCCGGGGAAAAGTTAAAAATTTAAGTCACCTAAAAAAAAATTCCCTGAAATAATTATTATTATTTAAAAGAATCTTTCAATTATGGAAAGAGATGTACTTAAATGAGCTTTTTCAGTTTTTCTACTCAAAAATCGATAAATTATTTTATTTTTATAATATTAAAAATATTAACGAATTTTTTGTATGACTTATAATAAATGATATTATTAAACCATATTAAGCTTATGACATTTTGTAACACTTTAACTTTTATAAATTTAATATTTTTAAATTTTGATATAATTATAATTAATTAAAACATTTTGCAGTAGGATTTAGATTTGAGTTCATTTTTTTTAATAGAATTAATTACCTCTACTTCTAAAAAAAAGGTATTTTTTACAGCATGAAGATTTATATCTAGATAAAAAATATTGTTTAAATATTGTAATAATAGATTTGTCACTTACTTCCCAAAACTTTCATGTAATGTGGGGTTTACATAAGTAAAGTGTCTTATGGAAAATTATATAAATTTATATATTTTGTTTTATTTCAAGCAAGACCACAAAGTACAATTGTACTCGATTATAGATAAAAAGTTAATTATTTAAAAAAAATCTCGGTTTATTTCTTTATTAATAGATAAAATGAAAACAGTAACTAAGTAATGGATTTTTATTTTTATTAATGATTATTAGAAGCATAAAAATTAAATGAATAATGCAAGTTATGATTCTTAAATTTTTTTAATATATTTAATAACAAAATATAATGTAATTATTATAATAAACAGACTTCTTAGAAATTTACAGCGATTTTAGATTAGTACATACACATATGAAAATATGCATAATTGGTTTTAATATCTAAAACTTTACAATAAAAAAAAATTAAATAATGAAATCACGATAACAATAAAAAAAATTAGCAGCAGTATTAACTTTTATCAATGTCAAGTCTACATTTTTAAATTCAAAAATTGAAAAATCATACAAATTTTAACTAGTTAATTATCTAAAAATTGAAAATAATAACAAAATATAGTTAATACAAAAACTCAGATAAAAATACATCATTAAATTACAGCAAATAATGTAAAAATATTAATTAAAAAATAATAATAACAACTGATTGAAAAAACATAATATGAACATTATTCAAAATCATATATCTGTACAGATGCGTAAATATAATATTACAGTTAATAAACTGTGAATGAAAATATGTAATAAAATAAATTAGTACTTGGTAAACTTTTTAATTGGACCCAAGTTAAAATAACTGGTTGCTCCTAAACTATCTAAATTACCGGGTCTCATAATATTCATTATAGGCAAGCCATATTCACTTCCTTGTTGATTTAATTGAGCAATTGGTAAAAAATTTGTAATCCCCATTGACTGTAGTCTAGAAGCTACCCCTGGCCTATTAACATCTATTATTGGTATAACATATTGGGCACCAGCCATTTCTGCTTTGTGATATGTTTGTTTATGCTGATTTAAACTTGCAGAATTAGGATAACTAGCGCCACATAAATTGCACCTGCAATATAATAAATTTTAATAATAACACATTTTAGGTTAAGACAATTTTTATTTTAAAAACATAGTTTTCAATATAAACTTGTTTATAAGTTGACAGTAAAAAAAAATTAATATATACATCATATTTACATCTATATTATTATTTCAGTTTATTAGTTTTTATCATTGTTATAATACATGGTGTCTCACCATATTCTTAATAACTTTTAATCCAACAAGTATTTTGCATTGCTTTATTTTAAAATTTTCAAAATAGTCATTTTTTACCAAAAATTTTGATGGTTAATAATAACTTAAGAATTAGTACTTATTACAAGCATTTTAATACTTTAAGCTGTACCCAGATCAGTAAGTACAACAGTAAAAGCTGCCACTTACCCCCCCTAACATACCTATTCTATGTATTAAAAATTTCTGATAACTCGATTAGTACTAATTTTATTATTTAAACACTAAAAATGTATAAAAACTTACTTAAACGCAAGTTTAGTCGATTTATGTGCCAAACTAATATGTTCATTTAGACTATCAATATTCAAAAAAGTTTTTGTACAATGAGTGCAAGGATAATACTGCGAATTACTTCGAGGTTTATCAGGTCCAGTTAAATCAACAGTGTCAAGCTTCTGAAATGAAAATAATATTAATTAGTTATAAAAAAAATAAAAAAATATTTAACAATCTATTAATTTAAAATTTATTTCATTTAACTAAGACCATTCCAAAATTGTATAGATCATAAAATTGTTTCATGTATAATTGTAATCATTGTGCGACTCGCTAATAATAGTTTCAAAATCAAATCATCCTTTGTAATTCAATGCATAAGTGAAATTTCCTTAAAATTTTTGAGTTTTGTTGGGCTTACCTAATTTTACCCTCCCTAAAAATTATTTTAATATAACAATACAATATATTATTAAAATTTTCAAAAAAAAACTGTATATTATATAATTATTCATAAATTTTGGAGAGAATTAGCCCCTCAAAGCCACCTAAATTTCACTCTATGCATTCATGTAACACAGCAATTGTGTAGCTGTGTCAAATTTTATAATTATCAATACAACACCGTTTTAGAAACAATACTTCATATCCAAAAATCTCGTAAGTCTAAATATACACTAAAATTAGCAATAAAAACATACTTAATTTTGTACACAAAACTGAGACCATGATGATGTTAATCACAACCATAAACATTAAATTACAGAGTTTAATATTTTCATTTGATAACATTGTAAAAATATACTTGAAATTTGAACAATCATAATTATTATTAGCTTAATGGCCAATTATTATTATACGATTATGTACATGTATATTTATTTTACACACATTCTTTTAAACAAGAGATGATGAAATCAAAGAGAGGTAATCAAAATAATACGCTTGATATACAAAACTATTTATATTTAATAAATGATAATTTTTTTTTTTTTAACTACAATATAACAACAGGAAATGTTTTGCAAATTAAATGATAAACCTTTAATGAAACATGTTTAGGTTGTATTACAACTAAAAATGAAAATGAAATTCTAAAATAAGTTTTTGCCGATCTAATAACCAAATTTTTTGAAGGCAATGAATTTAGAAACAAAGTACTTGGTATGAATCAAAAACCTAACAATTTCTTTAAAAGACTTTTGTTGATGACTATTCTTTCCTATATTTCAAGATTTACTCTTCATCATAATTTTATACATTATTACATTCGATCTTAGTTAAAACGAGGTATGGAAGTTCATTGTGCTACAGTAAATAGGGAAAATTTGAAAGGTTATTTTGTATACAGGCTGTTTCTTCACTTCACTTTGTATACTGTTTGCTGATCAAACACGCAGTAAATTAAAAAAAATTGTTTCCATCATTTGACTTTCGTATATACAATTTACATTTTTGTTGGGCTATACGTTTTATTGCCATCTTATTAGCCTAAATAAACAACACTATTTTATGTACAATGCATACATGAATACCTTACATAAAACATTATAATTAAAAGTATAATGTCTGATATTAACTAGGCACATTTTTACATTAAAATTGAGTTACTGTTACAAATTACTGTGACAATTTTTGAGCTATTATGTTTTGTGATGCACATAATTTTGTAACTTTCTCAGCCAAAAAAAGCTTGTCAAAAAGTTGTGCACGTTTTTGAATTACTTGAATAAGTAGGGAAAAAGTTCAATTAAAAAATAAATTGAATTAAGTATTAAATTACCAGAGTAAAAGACCGTTTTTTTTAATTAAAAATTAAATACATAATAAGGAATATACTTACTTTACTTGGAGAAGTAGGTATGATAGATACGGCTGAATTTAAACTTAAACCAGCAGGAATACTTATATTGCTTGCTGTATCCACCTAAAATAGAGTTCCCAATTCAGAGGTTAATTCTACAAATGTATAAATATTTATAACAATAGAACAACAAAGAAAAACTTAAATTACTCAGTGTAATTTTGCCTATTTATTAATATTTTTTGTTATTTATTTTATTAAAACACAAAGGATATATATAAATATAATATCACATTACATTATATTATATAACTGTCACATTGTTGTCTCAATATCAAGACAATGTTTTCTAATTTTACAACATTTTTCATAAAAATTAATAGCAATTAATATTCTAGGTATCTAAACACCTAGAATTAAAAATTTTAGGGATTCTAAATTAATTTTTTACCTAAATTATTTTATACAATCAAATACCAAATAAATTATAATTAACATCCAACCCTTACAAGAATTTTAATACATAGTGTAGAAATGTAGCAAGGGTGGCTTGTACTGGCATATATTTATAATGTGTACTACGCTCACACTTATACTAACTGTGTATTGAAATGATTGTAACTTAGGATAAGTACTTATCCTAAGTTATTATTGACATATTAAAATGGTTTGTAAGAAAAGGGCTAATAATGATTATTTTAAAATTTCAAAAAAAAAAAATGTTTTTCTCATCAGACACAAATAATAAAAAATATTCTTTTACCAGTCTAAAAATGTAAAAAAAAATTACAATGAAATTATAATTGTATCAAAAGTTATTGATTTAACATTTCTTTGCAACTCATCCTGTATAATATATAAAATAAGGCTCTAATACGTAATTCAAATATGTATTATTCTTTAGAACTCTCTTAATAAAACTTTAAAAATCTGCCATTGAAAGTATATATCATTTTTATAATATCTAACTATTGAAATACGATTTTAAGAACTTCATAATTATAACAAAAATCAAAAATTCTTTCATTTCAAAAATGGTTAAATATGTGTCGATATTGTAGGTACAGATTTCTCAAAATTTTTATCTACAATGTTTTAAAATAAAAGCAATATATTTTTAATTAAAAAAAATAATAGTACAATTTTACAATTATAAATTAAATTTACTTACAGTACTTATGGTAAGTCCTCGTTTACCTAACAGATTAACAACATCCTTTTGAGTGACAGGTGACTTACTTGAAGCACTAATAGATTTTGTAAGAGATTCAGATAAAGATTTGACAATTGGGGGAGTTTTATTCATTGTATTTGAATAAGTATTCCTAAAAATACATAATAATGAATAAAATTATTACAGTAACTTTATATATTAACACCTATTTTTAAATTATTGTAACATCAATATAATAAGTTTATTATAATAAAAATAATATCAGTGCAGGGACCCCCACAGAAAAATTTCCCTAGGGGTGCAAAAATTATTAACAACAGTTTAAGCCATAGAGGCAATTTTTCACATCCAAAGACTTAGAAAAATACAATACTTCTTTCAAATTTCATAACAATACAATCTAATTTTTTACTGAAAATTGTATTTTAAAAGGTTTTGTGAGGAAAAAAAGGTCAAAAAAAATGTATTACTTTGACAAAAACTCAAATTCAAAATAATTGTTAATTAGTGTTATGAATAACATATTTTATTAATTTTTATGTGACACGAAAAATTCCAAAAATACAATGGCAACTCCTAGTCCCCCCACCGATCGCCTCTTTATCAGTAATTAATGTAACCAATAGATCTTCTTCTACTTCTTCCTCGTCTTAATCCCAACTACTTGTTGTCGGCCACCCTTATCCTAAACTTCCACTTGATACGATCTCCCACATCAACTGTCCTCATATTGCATTCTATTCAGTTATAAATTGTATATTTTAAAATCACCTCTTTTATAATTAATTTATATTATTAAATAGAAACATGTCTCTGACAAAAAAAAAAAAATATTCGAGTTAAATTGATTAAAAACACAAAATGGTTCAATAAGATTGAATATAAAATTGAAAGTTTAAAATCCTAATTAAATATAAATTAGTTTTATTCGACGGTAAATTTAATTAATTTAATTTGAAGTATATTATGTATAACATAATAATCTAAATTAAATTAAATGTTCTGGTAATCAAACACAAATTACCCAAAATATCTTAATAATAACAATATTATTGTTACAAAAACAGAAATTATTATTTTATATTTTTAAATAACTAAAATACATATCTGTGATTTATATCCAAAAAGTAAATAAGTAACGCATTCAATAGTATCCCTTCATCTCTTTTTTGGTTCTTCTACCTCTTCTTCCTTCAACATTCATTTCTATAACTCTTCTTAAAGCTTCCAATTCTCCTCATAACATGACCAAACCATCTAAGTCTATTTTCTCTCATCTTATGCACGATTAACTCTACACCTATACTCCCTCTTATATGCTCGTTCCTTATCCTATCTTCTCTAGTCACTCCACTCATCCCTCTAAGCATTCTCATCTCTGCTCTATTCTCTTGTCAACTGCCTAACACTCTGAACCATAGCTGGTCACCTACAGTCTTATAGAATTTATATTTTAGCCTCATTGAAATTCTTTTATCGCATAAGACGCTAGACTCTTCTCTCCACTTCAACCACCCACACTTAAACCTGTGTCTTATATCCTCGTCAATATCACCGCTCTTTTGCACAACTAACCCTAAATACTTAAAACTTTCCCCCTCTACAATCACGTCCACCCCTATTGTCACTGATCTCCTCATTTCACCTTCCTTGTGTTCTCCTTTGTCAAACTGATACTCTATATATTCTGTCTTACTTCTACTTATTCTTAAACCCTTTTCTTCAAAATATTATTTCCACACCTCTAGCCTTTGATTAACTTCCTCCCTATTTACACTATATCATCAGCAAACAACATGCACCACGGCACCTCTCCTTGTATTTCTCTAGTAATTTCATCTATCACTATAGAGAATAAGTAAGGAGTTAAGTAATTAATTAATGTAAACAATAGATAAAATATGCAAACCTATCAGCTGCAAACCGTTTAACTGGAGGTGTAAGTCTTACAGGCATAGGTGCGGCTCTTTTCATGGAGCTACCTCTCACACCAGGAACCATAGTGGCTGGTCTTCCTCCTGAAAAAAAATATTAAATGTATCGCCTAATACTTAAATAATTTATCTGGATTTTTTTTTTAGTTCAAATTTTGCTTTTTAATTTAATTTGGATTTGATTAAATGATAAAAATAAGCATATTAGTTTTCCCACATTTTTTTAACAAATAAACTTATTTGACACCTAAGTTTAACCAATTTGATTTGATCGACTGACTGACTTATTAATATTCAACCTTGATATTAAAAAAATGTCAAGTTGACAAATTTAAGTAACTATAAGAGGGCAAGCTTCACCCTTTAGTTACATTATTGCTAAAATTATTTATTAAATAGCCTAGAACAAAAAATATACTTTACTTTCCATATTTATAATCCATAACAGTATCAATACAAAGTATCGTAACTTGTTTTAATATAAATCTATACAGATCGATGAAATAATCCAGTAAATCCGTCTAATAAATTGACTAATATACAAAATAAGATGTCTGGTTACATGGTCATATATAACCTTCTATGTTGTATTAGTTTGTACAGTACAGGCTAATAGTTTGAACACACACGAGAAAATAACATTTCTATTAGTTTATTCATTTATTTTATGAAAAAAAATTTTTATTTACTTTATTTGGAATGTATAACATACATGGTTTTAACATTTTTTCATTATTCTTAATCTATTTTATGGAAGTAAAATTTAAAAAATTAGAAAATATAAAAAAAATTACTTTGGTTGATCGTCTTGTGTGACTACCTTTTGCTTTAATAATTTTGGCACAAATCTTTATCATTCTTTTGACAAGTTACAACATTTAGATATATTTACCATCTCTTTGCAATCGACTGATAACCATCGTTGTCATCAATGATGCCATCGATGATACAAAATGTTCTTTAATCTGGTTACTTGGCAGTTGATGCTATGTTGTTTATTGTCATGGTAACTGAACAAGTTCTAGTCGTAGTATTAATGAATAATTAAATACAACAGTGAAAATTGGCAGAACGAAAAGAATTAAGTGTGGAGAAATGGGCTCAAATCGTTATTTTGCAAAAACAAGGTAACTCATACTGAGACATTGTTAAAATATTTAAGATTTCTTTGAGCGCAGTTCAAAAAACAACAGCACGGTATTAAGAAACTGACGTAAATACTGTCAAAAAAAGTCCGGTCGGGAACTCAAAACAGTTCAGAAAATCGTCAACAAGATTCATGCTATTAACAAAAACGTTTGTTTGAAATCCGTATTAGTTTAAAAATCAATGAATATTATTTGGATTCGCCACTTTCTTTAGGTATATTCGGTCATATAGCAGTCAATAAATAACTTATCATCCGATAAACAGAAGAGACTTGATTTTGCAAAAGACCATTTTATCTGAATCACTGATCAGTGGAAATCAATTTTATGGAGTGACGAGTCAAGTTTAAACTTTTTGGGGAGTCATCGATAACAATACATCCGCCTAAAATTCCATGAAAAATACAAACTACAGTGTATTATGCCTACCGTGAAACATGGTAAAGGTTCCGTGATGATTTGGGGCTGTTTCGGTCAACTGAGAGCTGGTCAACTTAAAAGAATCGAAGGATTCATGAAGGAAAAATATTATACTATACTATACAAAACACTACGCGATACCATCTGGCACTTAGTTAATAATTTCATTTTTTAACAGGATAATGACCCAAAACACACTTTTCGCTACTGTATAGTATACTTAGGGAAAAAAACAAAAGGATGGTATACTTAAAATATTAAAATAGCTTCCTCGGTCTTCCGATTTGAATTCCATCGAGTTTCTGTGGGATAAACTCGATTGACGAGTGCGAAATTTAAAACCAACCATCCTTTGTCTCTGGAATTACTTAAAGAAAGCGTGGAACAATGTACAATTAGAAACATTACAAAAACTGGTTAAAAATTTGTACAAAAATTATAAAACACAAAAGGTCATTTTAAGAAAATGATTTCTAAAAAATGGATTAAGAATTATAAGAAAACTTTGTGTTCTATACATTAATATTATGTAAATTAAGTAAGTTATTCTCATAAAATAAATAGATCAACTAGAAAAATGTAATTTTCTAGAGTGTATTCAAACTTTTGATCTATCTGTATACAATCATTTATTTCAATATCTCTAAAAATTGTTTCCAAGGTCGTAGCTGGAATCAATTTTCTCATGGGTTTTCATTCAAATGTAGTCGTAAAGCAGCCAATTTTTATTTTTTAGAGGCTAAATTTTATTTTTTCCTTCCAAAAAATAATTTTTATAAAACAATGCATTAACTATGCTAAACTTCTGAAGGGCTGATACCCATGGTCTCCGCCTGATTCATATGAAACCAAATATATATTTTCATATAACGATATGCGTTACTTAGTTACACAGAACTAATCGGAATCATAACAATATAGATAAGTTCTCAACTTTATTCTGGCGCCTGATACACACCCAGTCAATCATCGTAGTTCGTCTCTTATCATTAGTCAACATTTTATAAATATATATGTATATAAAATATACAACCAATATGGCGAACTACAATGGGCTTGGTGTGCGGAAGTAGTTCTAGAAACATTTGTTGAGAACATGTATCTATTTTGTAACAACGAGAATATTATGTTTAAAACAGAAGCTAAGATAAATTGAATTGGAAAACTTAAAGCTTTATAAGGCGATACGGTTTTGTTAAACATTTTCCGTAGAAAAGGGAATTTTAAAGTAATTGTGCCATCAACTATTTTATAAGTATTTTTCACGACCTCACCCCGTTTTTAAAATTTTTGATTTTGAAAACGTTAGTCGTTAAAGATTACTGCTCGCCGAATATGCCTCGTCTGTGGAATTTCTTCAACAAAACCGGATCGTACTCTGTTCAAGACGATAATGACGTCGTGTTCAGTACATTTTATCGTGGTGGTTTAAAACTAGTAATGGATATTTTTGATTAATATTTTAAACTATCGAATAGTATTTTTTTATAACTATCGAAAAACTATTCGAATTGTTTTTATACAACCGAATAGTTTATTTTTAGCACAAACTATCGAATGGTTTCAAAAAATATTCGATTAGTTTTACCTAAAATTTCTGTTCAGTACACTTAATTATTATAAGAAGATAATTAACGAATACTTAAAATAAATTATTATATAATTAATAATAGTAAAAATTAGTTATGGGCATATTTTAAACTATCGATTAACTATTCGAATTGTGTTTATACAACCGAATAGTTTATTTTTAGCATAGACTATCAAATATTTTAAAAACTATTCGAATATATTGTGTAACCATCGAATATTTTTACTACTCAAATAGTTTTTGAATGACTATCGAATAGTTGGATAGTTACTATTCGATATTTCCCATTACTATTTAAAACTAGTTAGATACGAGTTTATTTTTTTTATTAATTTATAACAATAATAAACTATATTTTTAAATGAAACATTATACATATAATATACTAAACGACTCATGCATTCCTGCGAGATAAAAGAATTATATACAACATATAACTTAATTATTACACCAGTGTTAACACAATACGAGTGTTGTTCAATAAGTTATCGTTGTAACTCGTTGACAATGAAATTGCTTGTGACATATACTGTTGTCCTAGTAAAAAGTGTATACGACAAAAATTGAAATATTATTTCATTGTAATAAAATAATAACAATTTAATGACGCATCTTTGAAATTAAGCAAATTTACCGTATCCAGCTTAGAAGCCGAGTTATTGAGAATTTGGTTTATACGTATTTTGTAAAAGTAGACCTAATACCAAAAAGAAAATAAAACACTAGTACTAATAAAAAAGTAGTATAAAAACTACCCACAAATACAATCATTTTGCTTAGTACAACTCAATATTACTAATAACAATTCCGGTCAATTGACAAGATTGTCGGGCCGCGGGGGATGAGCGACGGACATTGTGACGGAACCTGAGATAAAATTAAACTAAGAGACCAAAATTATGTTTACTTGTGTGATATCAATATGTTTTAAATTTATATAGCTTTATTATTGTATGACTATCCCCATAAAATAATTATATAATATTTATATAATCATCAATGACATATAGTGTGTACTGTATTATGCATAGTGTTCAAAATTTGTTTTTTTTATCCTTTATATTTAATTTGCTTTTATTGGAACTCCTATTTTTATTTTGTTGACATAGAAAAGAATATTTCAAAAAATTTTGTTCTTATAATATTTTTTGTTCAACCATTTTAAAATTGTTTAAAGATTTGGATTTAAACTACTAATTTGTCATTAATTTGGTTTTCATAATACCAAAGACAACAATAATCTATGTTTCAATGGCTTATTAAATATTTTCATGATAACTATCAAGAAAATTTTTTCACATCGATCATTTAACAATGAACAGCAGAAAACTTGGGTTGAATATAAGAGTAAACGTCTTTTAATAGACATGAGTTATTAAAAATAAGATTTCTATTCAATGGACAATATCAAATTGTATCAGTGAATATTGACGAATACTGTATGCTAAATAATAAATTATCAATTGAAAATTAGTCAAAATTGCTAAATTTAAACAAACAATAAGAGATGAATGTTTTATGAAATAAAAAGAACAACGTTTTTTCCTATCATATTATTAACTAAAAATAGAAACTCCCATTTATAAAGTATAGGTTTTTTAGTCATGAAGTGATAAAAAAAAAATTATTTAACAACATATTATTATATAGTATTTTTAATCAAACAATATTTTCTTATAAAAGTTAAAAATGTTCAATAGTTTTCAAGAAAATTGGTGTCTTATCCTTAATGAATTACCTGTATGTTGTTAAGATAAAGGAGTTATAACGAGCGGTTTTGATAAAAGTGATTGATAAAAATCTTTCGTGGAAAATATATTGAATTTCTACCTATGTAAAATAGGAATGCAAAATAAATTATTGGTATAGGATGGTACTGATCATTTATTAATTCTTTGATGAGAAATATTCATAAGCCTCTTAGGTACATATAAAAAGTAACTACACAGCTGTGTCAAAGTTTTATTTTAAATCATTACACTTCAAAATCGTCCATTACTGAGCGTTTTTAATGTATCCGAGAATACATTTCTTTTTAGATAATAAATGATTTAGATATGTGATACGGCTAAGGAAAACAGACAGATATGGGTTTTTGGTAAAGGAGTCGTTCTACAGTTTTTTCAGTGGATTTATTAGATTCTACATTAAAAAAAATAAACGCTTCGATGCAAATCTTTAAATAGTGTTTAATTTTAAAAAAAAACCCAGCACAGGGGGGTCGCGGCACAGTGGTGACGTGGCATAGTTGGATCAAGTAAATGATATCTGACAGTGATTAAAATCACTATCAAAAATAAACGCTTCGATGCAAATCTTTAGATAGTGTTTAATTTTAAAAAAATTGGTGTTTTATTCCAAAAGCTACTTGATCTGCTGGTTCCTTATTAATATCTCGATTAAGATAAAGTATGTCGAATGAAAAAGGGTTTATTAAAAAATATTATTTCTCATAAAAAAATTGTGTGGATCCATAAACTTTTCAATAAGTTATAGCATTATAAAGTTAAATATAATATAAATAATAAAATCGAGAATTTTCACACGAAAATAGCATTCGGTAGCCATTTTCGCCGTGAAGACAAGTCCAGAGGTCAAATTTTTTTTTTTCAAATTAAAGTATATTACATTAGCTTTAATTTAAGATATATATAAAAGTGTCAGACCTTCCGGAACATTTTCAAAAGTTAAGTTGAAAAAGTTAATTTTTTGTGAAAAAGTTGTCATTTTAAATCCCCTCCTGTGGGCAGAAAAAAGGTCAAATTTACAAAAAAAATATACCAAATGATAGGTAAAGACATCAAGCATCTATATAAAAAAAAATTATATTGATATGTTCATTTTTGAAAAAGTTAGAGCATTATTAAGTTAAAAATATAAAAAAAAATTATTTTACAAAAATCGTAATTTTTTATTAACTTTGATGTCAACTTTCACCACGAAGACAAGTCCAGAGGTCAAATTTTTTTTTTTCAAATTAAAGTATATTACATAAGCTTTAATTTAAGATATATATAAAAGTGTCAGACCTTCCGGAACATTTTCAAAAGTTAAGTTGAAAAAGTTAATTTTTTGTGAAAAAGTTGTCATTTTAAATCCCCCCCTGTGGGCAGATAAAGGGTCAAATTTACAAAAAAAATATACCAAATAATAGGTAAAGACATCAAGCATCTATATAAAAAAAAATTATATTGTTACGTTCATTTTTGAAAAAGTTACGGCAGTTTTTAGTAAAAAAAATTGAAAAAATTTCGAAAATTAGCGATTTTTAAATTTGTAATTTTTTTGGAGGTTTCCCCCATTTACGGGGGAACGAGGGAATTTTTTCCTTTTTTGAGGGTAATGTCTTCGACTAGATACGATTTGTGATCTTTTGACGTATCGTTGAAAGAAATCCGTTCGGTGAGAGCTGAGAAAAAGTGGTAACAGACACAAAAAAAAA